CCCCAAAACCCCAAAACCCCATAAGATAATAGTTGATAGAATTTAAATAGACAATAAATCAATAATATATAATTTTGAAATGCTTTAAACAATGAAAATATTTTAGTCTCTAGTAATTATTCAAAGTGTGCTGGTTGCTTTCAGTGAGTAGTAGCAGATATGCCCAGCTTTGACTTGTGATTCCTCTATAAACTACCCAATAGTTGACCAGAACAACATTTGCTTTTAGCATTCAGCTGATAGTCCAGTCACTTCAATCAGAACTTATTCCTGCAATTAGAAGCAATAGTGCGGATTAGTTGACGGAGAGTATGCCTGGACAAGAGCAATTAGGCAAAACAACTCAACTTAAAACAGAACTGCTAGAGATAACTCTCAGGTTTACCAAAGAATTACAGAAAAGACCTGTGAGGACATTCAAGCAGATGATTAACTGCTGCAAAATGGAAGGAAATGCGAGCTACCCATTTAATGTATAAGTCGTGATTGCGACAGTGGAAAAAGAAAATGTGTTGGAAAAGAGGAGGGTCAGTCTTGTGAGTCTCATCAAGACTGTGACATCAATCTTGCATGTCTTCCTGATTCTTCTTTCCCCTTCAAAACAACTTGCAAATTGTTAAAAGGCACGGGAGAGTCATGCTTATCAGACTATGAATGTTTAAATACTCACTTTTGCTGGCCTCCTTTGGCCAATAGCTCTGACTATAGATGTCTAGAGATGTATTCTCAAGATTTTATGAAAGACTATGGTTTCATTAGAAACACATCCCTAACTTAGATCGATGCTAGTGTAAATGCAGGTCGATATTGCAAGTCTGGAGTTGCTCTAATTATAAACAACTCCTCTTCAAGATGCATAGAGATCGTAAACATTACCTCAACTATTGATAATCATACAACAAATCAAAGTTCCCCTTATCTTTGTTCTCTGACAAATAATGCAAGCAGCGGTTGCAGATACTGGTATAGATTATTCAATTAAACTGTGAACAGAGTTCTAGCTGAAGACTATTGTGAGTGCTCCTTGTAGCCAGCACTGAATTCTAGATTTTAAGGAATCTGCCCATTTCCAGGCTAAGACTAACTCTCATAATTTGTTAAGGCTACAAGAATCTTAATTGAGAATACAGATTGCCACACTTTAGATAGATACAGTATGATAGCCTAAAATGATTGCGGTGCTGGAGGTAAAGGTGGTGACTTATATGACTAGTGGGCAATTGCAACTGAGACTTTGTTTAACCTGACTTATTGGCCTTTCATTCAGAGTAATCAAACCAATACATGTATGCAGTAAGTAATGACATTAAGCAGGCAAAGTATAGATAAGTCTCAAGCATATATAATATCTTTATCATTGTAATCTTTCATGATGGTATTAGTAACTCTTTTGTTAATATAGTATTGAGAATTGCTTAATAGTTAATTTCATAAATATATATTGTATTGAAAATAACATTTTTCTATTTTTAACTTAAAATTAAGCAATAATCTTATTCAAACTAAACGTTACTGCTTTATATCATCTTAAAAGTATCAGTAGTATCCTGGGTATGAATATGAAGTTGTGTACTATTAAGGATATGCAGACTGTTACTGGTTTGCATAGTAGGCTTGGTATTATTGATATTAAGCTGCAGTGTATTAGGCTTGTTGCTAGTTAGCTTAGTTATAGTAAGCGGGGTTTGCCTGATACTGTTAATACTATGCGGGTGTCATCATTGGGTATTGATATTATTGCTGAGCAGATTATGAATACTAAGGTTGTTGCATTTGCATCTGAGGCTACTAATAAACTTATTGCTGAACTTGCTGTTAGACTGGAGCAACCTGTTAATGTTATTACTGACTCATTTAGCCAAGAGGCGGTAGGACCTTTGGAATCTCCTGTGTTCTTGAAGGCCCAGACCAGATGCTTTAAACCATAATCTCACCTGCCTTCTTGTTTTTCCAGAGCAAAACGAACCATTCAGTAATACCACGACCATGCATGAATTAAGAGAGCTTGACTTGGCATTTCCCTATACCTTCATCTGATAGCACTCCTCCTTCTTCCATGACTTTAATCTCTATGATCTCAGATGGGTCTGTGCATGTCAACTCAAATTCTTCATTCCAACTTGGGGTCTTTCCTCCATCCTTGCAAACTTCACTCTTGTAAATCTCTCCAGCTAGTTTCATCACTACATAAGGATCCATTGTTGAAAATGTATTCACATCTCTGTTGAGTCTGGCTTCTTTCAAAATGAGTTTTAGTGTATGCTTTCCTTGATCTACCATTTTTCTTGAGTCTTGAAACTGTGAATGATTTGTTTAGTTTTTTATATATTTTAACTATTAATATAAACAAATTCCATCATTAATTAAGGAGATTAAATTATTTAAACTCGTGTTTAATTAATTAATAAGTAAGTAATGAAGCTTTATTAGATTATTTAAAGAGATTTCACTGAATAAAAGCAAAGTAAAAGTATTAATAATTGAGGAGAGTGGGTGAATTAAAAAATTAATTAGAAAAATGTCTGGTACAAGATTAAAATTCAATGACCTTCTGACGTCCACAAATATCAGTAGTCCTTTCAACGCTAATAACTACTTTGATACTAATGGGGCTATATAGAGAAACAAATAAGCTTAGGAGAAGATTCAACAACAAAATGCTCCCTCTTGATAGCTTTCAAAGGCAATGAATGGATAACAGACTTAGTAAAATTCTAAAGTAAATGATAAGAAAAGCAGATTCAAGAACAGACTGATTGGCATGGGAAAGATAGATTTCTCTTCAACTGTAGCTCAGGGTTAGAAAGACGGCACTATGTTTAGTCCTCAGGTAATGCGAATGAATCCAAACAAAGACTATTAGCTATATAATTAATAGGAATGACAGTATAAACCCTATCTAAATAGACTTGAGATCGAAGTGCAAAAAATAACAAACTAAAACATTCAATAAGCTTAGCTAGATCGAGACTTGCAAAGCTTTAAATCAGTTGGACCTATATTCGAAGGCATGCCTTTCGTTAGATACAGCAGTAAGCCAATTGATTGGATCACTATAAGCAAGTAGATTTTAACTAAATTCGCTCCATAATTGCCATTCTGATATCTGAGTGAAGAAAAAGATACTGCTTATGATGAAGATGATGACTATAGACTGATAAATAAAGAATTTAAGAAAAAGAAGTTATCGATACCTATCTAAGAGAAAAGTGGCTAATCAAGAATAAAAAGACACATTCATGCCAGTAGTACAACCAATAATCTCATAATTCCAATGACCTAAAAAATAAACTAAATGATTAGCTAAAAATAGATGCAGCAGTAAGCTCATTAACTCTTTACTCAAGCATCTGCTGCCTAACTTAATCTTAAAAAATAAGCTGCATCTTCATCCCCCATGAAATAACAGCTTCAACAGTAGCTTCAGAAAAAGTAAACTCTAGCTGCAATTAAATTTAAAGATTTTAAGATAAATAATCCTGGAGGGGGTCCCAAATTAAAATTTAATAAGTTCTCAAGTAATCTAAATGCAAATGATGAAGGCGATAGTTTAGATGATCATGAAAAGGAGTTCTTCTTTCTGAGTATGAAGTAGTTTTTGTAATTTCAGGCACGTCGTAAATCATGTCATTGCACTATGTGTGGAGGGGATCTTAAGAATCAGTCGTTAAGGAATAAAGCTGAGTATATTGATGCAGAAGTAGCTCTCATAAATTAGTTGTCAACTGTCAAGTAGCAGAAGTAGTCATTTAAGAATTATCTTTTGAAGGATATTACGAAAAAAGTATAAGAGTATATTAAGTTTAAACAAGTCAAGGATCAGCTCGCGACTATACAATAAAAAGAATAAAAAAGTACTAGTAAAAAGAAATTTGGCAGATTCTTCAATATTGGAATGAAATCGAGAAGCAGAGGATTATCAAATTCGGGAAGCAAGGAATTCTAAAGCGATTCAAAACTAATGAAAATTTAAACTCCTTCTGATAAAAATGCTATAAGCCATGATGACTCTGGATCTACAAAGGCTATTCAACTGAAATCTATGCAAAGTGCAAGTGCATTTCCAACTAATTTTTAAAAACCAATTTAGTAAATGACTTTTGCTAAAAGTCATACCATATTAGTAAGAGAATCTTTGGATGAGTATCATTAAACAATATCTCCAAACAAGAAAAGAGAGAGGGAAGAATCTCCTACTAAGTATTCAGATCCAAATATCCCTATAAATAAAGATGAAAATTAAGACTAAATGGACCTCGAGCTCTAACTGCTAAGACCTTATCTGAATGACCTTAAAAGTAAAAATAACAGATTTTTTGGGAACTCCAGTAATATATCAATTACCTCTTTTGAGAACAGTTAAAAATTGTAAGATAGGCAAAAGTTTGGAGCTTTCACACTCTAATCAATGGATAGAGACTATGTGAGTAAAAATAGGCTTTAAGAGATTGAGGAGATAATACTGAGAGAACTTGAGAATTAAAACGAGGAGTACAAAAATTTTATTCAAGAGGAAATCTAGAAAAATATCAAGAACAATAGAACATAGAAAAACCCCCAAAGAAAATCATTCTTGTATAATCTTACTAGCCCTAATTTACAAGTATCACCCATTATTAAATCATTGGATCAGGATCATCTAAAGAGTTAGTTTGCACCTTAGCACAAACCTGATATTTTATCTCTACCTCAGACGAGAACAATATCAAAAAGAGGGTCTGACTCATTCAGTGATTCCTCCTCCGATTCTGTATCAGCAAAGTCCACTTAAAGAAGCAATAATAATAATTAATAGGATATGAGGGATAACAGAGCAACCATATTTTTGACTAGTAAGATGTTTAGAAGGCCTAAAGATAGAACATATCTTTAACCAGTAAAGTAAATAGTTAGAAATTACAATAGCACACTTAATATAGTACAGAATTAGGACTTAGTCCAAACTTCTTCTCAGAACAATATAATATAGGCGCCAATGATTAAGATATAAGATTCAGTATTGAGTTCTCAGTATGGAAGTGTAAGTCAGCAACACAATTTATTTGAATAGAGGAGTTAAAGTATTTAAAGTAACCCCTATGTGCAGAACCTGACCAAACCATCAGTCTAAATTTTAAATAATAACTACTAGTAGACTGCTAAAACACTTCGAGGCTCATTGAAATCTTAGCAATCTTCAAGAAAGTCTCTAAACTCAGCAATATTAAAGTATATGGACAAGTCTGATTAAGTTTTCCATCAAAAATTAATAAATAAAATACATATTCAGGAAAAAAATCACATGTTCTTTAAGAGATAATCCACTGAATAAAGCTAACTTCAGAGGGTAAGCACAGCTAAACCTCAAATTTTAGGTCAAAAGCCTCAAAGATAAATATAAAGAGTATTGGAGAGCTCAAAATCCTAGAGACGAGTTTATACAAGCATGCAGTAAAGTAGAGAAATATCAGGGCAAAGAAACAGATTAGGAAGTTAACTGTAAGATCTTTTTGCTCAAAATACATTTGAATGAATGAAACATATAATAAATTGACAGTTTATTTATTTATCAATTTGGACTACGAAACTAAGATATTAAAGTTTAATTTACTTCTCTTCTATAGATTAACTTTATAAATGCAGCGGGGTTTTGGGGTTTTGGGGTTTTGGGG